CCTATTGGGCCCTGGACCAGCTGCTGGGCTACTGGGCGCCGGCCGCGCGCCCGAGCGGCCCGTGGCTGAGCATAGCGGCAGGCATTGGAGCGGTGCTGCTGCTGCTGCTGCTTCTCATCAGCCTGCCTCTGGCCCTGCCAGGCCTGCTGCTCTGGCTGCTGCTGCAAGCCTGGCGCCGCCCCTTCTGCTACCAGCCCCTTCCCCAGAGCTGGGCGCCCCCCGCGCCCTGGCGCCCCTCAGCTGAGCCCTCGCGCTGCTTCAGCTTCCTCAGCGCCAACGTGTGCCTGCTTCCCGACGGTTTGGCGTGCTTCAGCAACTTGCAGCACAGCCAGCAGCGGGCCGAGGCCATGGGCGCCGCGCTGCTCGCCGGCCTGCGGCGTTCTCGCCATGGGGTTGCAGGCTGTGGTCCGCCAGTGCAGGGTATGCCGTGAGGGGTGCTGATAGGTGTCATGCCAGCGCGTCTGGACTTCGTGTGCCTGCAGGAGGTGTTCGATCTGCGCGCAGAGCAACGCCTGGTGAGACGCCTGGCACCCAGTCTGGGCCGGGTGTTGTACGACGTGGGCACATTCGGCCTGCAGCCTGGGCTGCGTCTCGAGCTGCTGGGCAGCGGGCTGCTGCTGGCCTCACGCTATCCTCTGCTGCGCGCCGCCTTCCGGATCTTACCCCAAGCGCGTCGCGAGGACGTGCTGGCCTCCGAAGGACTACTTTCCGCACAGGTACCCGCCCACCGGCCGCCACGCTCCCGGCCAGGGAGTGGGCGGGGCATGGGGTCGAAAGTGCGAAGGTTGCTCCCGCTGTCCGTGGTGTTGCAGGCGCAGCTAGGCATCCTGGATGGGTGCAGCATCGTGGGCTTCCTGCACTGCACACACCTTCATGCGCGGAGTGGTGAGCCTGGTTAGCTGGCTCGTAGGCTCCTGGGCAGGCTGCCCCCAAATCCCCTTCCCCCGCGTGGCAGCGGCAGGTCCTAATTCTTGGCTGCACTTCCGCTCCCCCTACGTTTGTTCACTGCCCAGACACCGCGAGTCCCTTCAAGTGCCTGGGTGGGCTCACAGATCAGAACCAGGAGGGGCAAGGGAAGGCGGGGGTGGGGGTTAAACTGGGTGTCCAGGATACAGAATGGCACCTAGGACTGAGCCTGCCTTCCCTCCTGGTGCCCCTTCCCCGCTCCCCAACAGAGGACGGGCTCTTGCGCTGCAAACAGCTGATGCTGTTGCTGGACTGGGCCGAACAGTTCGCGGCTGAGAGCCGCCAGAGTGACGAGGCCGTGGCCTTCAGCGTGCTCCTGGGTGACCTGAACTTTGACAACTGTTCGCTGGGTGACAGGAGGCTGCAGCGGGGTGGGCCGGGTGTCCTGGCCCTGACCACTGAGTGCTGGCCTGTCTGCAGACCACGCACAAGAGCAACAGCACCATCTTTTCAGCCGCTTCCAGGATCCCTGCAGGCTGGGCACGCGTCAGGAGCAGCCCTGGGCCCTGGGTACCATGCCTGGGTGGGGGCAGGTGGACCTTGAGAGGGCTTGCCGAGACTCCCACTGATACCACCCTTCCTCGCCCTCCCAAGGAACGTTGCTGAGAACCTCCAAGCTGCACCACTCAGTGGCCTGCTCCCCAGAGATGCTGCGGAGGTGAGTGGCGACCTGGAGCACTTCCCGGAAGGAGGACTGCCCTGGCATTGGTGACACTGCCTCTCCTTAGGGCCCTGGAGCAGGAGGAAGGGCGCCGCCGCTACCTGGCAGGCCCTCCCAGGGGATGCCGCAGAGCTAAGCCCTGGCGTGGCCGGCGTCTGGACTACATCACCTACAGAGGAGTGCCCGGAGGCCTGAGCCCAGTAAGTGCCAGAGCTTAGAGTGCTGGGCTCCTGGCACTGGGGCGACTCCTCAACTGACTCCCACCCCTAGGAGGTGGAACAGGTGACATTCAGCACCGCCCTATCAGGGCTCATGGACCACCTGACGGTGGGACTTCGGCTCCGCATTTCCATGCCCTCCTAAGGCAGGCACGCAGGAGACAGGTGCCAGGACAGATGGAAAGACAAACAGGGACACAGAATGTGAGCCTGGCTGGTTGCCGTGGGAACTGGGCACCTTAAGGGGTCTTTATTGTGTGGGCCCTTCCTCACACAGCCTCCTGGGCCCTGCGGTACTCATAGATGCTGCCCCGCTTGGGGAAGGCTCGAGGCTGCGAGGGCGATCCTGGTGGTGGGGCGGGGTCCTCTGGGTCCCCAAAGCCCCCGCCGCCCGGTGTTTGG